CAGGTATGTGAGGGTGGTTTTCTATTTGGTTAAGCTTCCTTATTGTTAGTCGTATCTCTTCTTTGAGGTCTTGAGGCCAAATCGACTACCCCCAAATTAGTTATTTGGTCTGAACAGAGTTATCTCCGGACTCATGAATTTCTAGCTGAAACAGTGCTCTGCCATGTACCGGAAAGATATCGTGGCTGTTTGTTGCATTGCAACTTGTTTCCCCAGATGAATCAGTGATTTCGATTAGATCATTACCAAATAGTTCGATATGTTCTCTGCAGGCTGTTTTTGATGATACCGAAGAGTTTGTGCTATCCATAGATGAACCTAGCAATGAGGTTCGTTCTACTTCATGATTGTAGTGGCAACAACATAATCTCCTACTTTTGGCCTCCATTAATTATTCTGTTATAACGCAGATTGTCATTTGGGATGCTTTGACGGCTGAAAAAGTGGCAAAGTGGCCTTCCAACCATATCGGCACCCCTCGTTGGATTGAGCACTCACCAACGGAGCCTGCTTTCATATCCTGTGGGACTGACAGATCTGTTCGGTTTTGGAAGGAAACTCTCTAAGCACCCGGAATGATCTGGAGAACTTAATAGAACCGAGTTGGTAAAAGCTAAGTGCATCATGATTATTGCGGGTCCTCGGTCTGGCTTGAAACTTGTCCACATATTAGGAGTCGATATTGTGGCACATCATTGGAGTCGCCGTCCAAATTGTGAGTCGTCACGGATCCCCCTATCTCCTTTCTCTCTTTCTTCACCTATCGGAGAGAAACAGGCATTGCAGTTGTTTAGTTTCCCGTTTGATAAAAGTTGGTTTGATTAGTGTGCATCACGAGTATATATAGAGGGTTAATCGTTTGTTCATGAACTATATAATATTATCTTTCAATAGATAAAAATTAAAAAAATATTATTAATCGATGCAATATTGATGTCGCGATTCACGTTATAATGTTACATGATCTACGGATATTTGTGCACAAAACAAAAGTTCGAGTGCTAAGCCTATAACAACCTAGTGTTGTTCAATTGAACCTAACATTAATTGAGATATAACAAGGAAGCCTGTTATCATCACAGGAAATTTATTTTGTTGAGTTTTTTTATTATTAAAAGTTATAAAATAATCTTTTAATTATAGGACATTGTTTTATTGAGTCTCGTGACTGTTAAAAGTTAATAATTGGCCACTCAACTATTTATATATTTCAAATTCATTATTTTTCGTTAATAATTGTTAAACTTGACGTTAATATGTTGATTAGTATATGATGTATTTGTTCTTAAAATTTCAAATGACTATCATATCTCATTCAGTATGTTAACATTTAATTCAGACGACTGTTAAATTTTTAATGAAAAAGGATTAGTTTAGAACATATGAATTGTTGGGTGACCATCTTCTAACTTTTAATAGTCGAGGAACTCAACAAAGCAACGCCTTATAGTCAAAGAACCATTTTATAACTTTTAATAATCAAGAGACTTAACAAAGTAATGTCCTATAGTCGAGAGATCGTTTGTGTACTTTATCCCAAAAAATTTAATCATACTAGTTCATCATCGTGTATTCCTTTAAATATAACTAAGTAGGATAGACAGATATAATCCATACGTTATAGTCATTGGCACCTAAGTGTCCCAACCATCAACATAGTTAATATATGCACATTTTATGGTTTTATCACATTTTCTATTGTTTTTAATTTTTTTACTATTTTGTTAATGTGACAGTCCCATAGTTGTCATGTTTGTTAATTATCAGTCAAAGTTGATTAACGGTAACAGAAGGATTTAATCGATTTGATCATAAACAACGATCAAAGTTGGTCAAAAGAGAAAAAAATAGTTTTCTATGTACAGTGGCTAATTTAAAATTCCTTTTTAATATAGGGACTTATGACAAATTGACCATAAAGAATGTCTTATTGTTGTAGGAAAAAGAAGTTAGGTGTGTCCCTAGATGAGCTTAGGCCTAGGTCATGCCTTCATCCTCAATTTCTGATATAAATGAGCTTAGCCCTAGGTGACGCCTTCCCCAGGAATTTCAGATATTATTTATTTGTTATTATTATACAACTAATAATTTAAATAATCACTAATGTTCTATTTTTTTAATTTAAACTTTTTTTTTTAATAGTTTGAGTTATTATAAGGTATATTTATTCTTTATTTTTTTAGTTATTGATAACACATATCTTGTAAATATAATTACTTTAATTTAAGACCTTAAAGAAGAATAACATTTCCGTTAATTATTGAGGCCAAAATGTTTTTCTTTTCTCTTATAACACGCTTTTATCTTAATTTTGTAAAATAATAAAAAAATCAAAATTTAATTCATTATCGTATCTCCAGTTTAAGATTATTTAATTATTTTGTTGATTTACCTCTATTTTGATCCTTAAATTAATTCTCTCATATTAATATTATAATATATTTTCATAATCATCTCTTACAACTCATTTTTATCTTGATTTTGTAAAATAATATTTAGAGTTGGATTCATTGTTGTCTCTTCAATTTATGATTATTTAGTTATCTTATTGATTTGTCTCTATTTTGAACCCTCAAACTGATTCTCTCATATTAATATTAGAAAAATTCTATAACGCTCCTTGAGCGTGGATGAGCACATTTAATGATGAATACCATTAAATTAATTTATAAAACGTTAAATTATAAAACACTAAATGTATAATTATAAATTAGTTAAAAATCTAAATCTAAATGTAATTTAATTTAAATATAATATTTATAAAACATTAGTTTTTATGGTAAATTATATCATTGACCACATAACTATTTATCCCTTTTACTTAGACCTCTGATTTTTCAATTTTATCAATTGAATCATCTGCCGTTAAATATTAACAAAGGAGATGATGTGGTAGTTAATAATTTTTTTATCCAATCAAATCGTACCATGTGTCACCAATTAAATGAATATAAAATAAATTGAAACAATAACTGCTAATTGTGAGGTTTAAACCCAAGACATGAGGAGATGAAGCAGACACTCCAACCACTAAGCTACACCATTTAAATAACAAATCTATCACGACATAATATATATAGTTAATGGCAATAAAAAAGGAAAAATGACTTAATAAGAATTCCAACATGAAATAATTGAATAATAGGATAATATGACATAAATACACAAATATTATAACTGATTAATATGTGAAACAAATTTAGTGGTCTAATTTAGTGGTTAGGGTGCTTAATTTTTCGACTTGGGTCCCAGGTTCAAATTCCACTAGTAACGATTATTGATTTAATATTATTAAAAAAAATCCAATCACACAGTGACTCATGTCACAATCGGATTGAGGATTAAATTTATTAAATTAAATAAAAGTTAGGACTAAGTTAATAGAATTAATGTGTAAGTAATGAGGACTAAATGTGTAATTATATAAATTTTCTTAACTGCCATGTCATCTCCTCCATTAATATTTAACGACATGTGGTTTGATTGACAATATATAAATAGTTAAGTGACCCGATTGACAAAATTGAAAAATCGGTGGTTAAAGTAAAAAGGGTAAATAGTTAAGTAATCAATTATATAATTTACCCTAAAACTAATATTTTATAAATATAACATTTTAATTAAATTACATTTAAATTTCTAACTAATTTATAGTTATACGTTTAGTACTTTATAATTTAACGTTTTATAAATTAATTTAATGAAACTCATCATTAACAATGTTCATCGGTGCTCGTGTTTCAACATCATTCTTAATATTATAATATATATTAATAATCACCTAATATGTATACTATTTTAGTTGCGATAAAATCAATTATCAATATATTGTTATATTTTATTATTGTTTTAGTGTCAATGGTGCATTTTTTTGCGGTTAATAATAATACTTGTTTGTGTATTTTTTTTTCGACTTATTTGATTGAGTTATTAAACTCTTTTCCAGTTTAATCATTTTTTTATTATTTAATGACTATTTTTGCTCTTTAATAATTTTAAAGAGCAAATATTCAAAATTATAATGAAGTTCGTTAACTAAACACATAATTAGAATATTTTACTGTAATCATCGACGCAATAAACTAGTCACTTGATATCATATAAAAATCATATAAGAAAAATGTTAGAACTCATCCAAAAAGAGAATACTAAAAAAAAGAGAGACAAATACGAACAAATCTAACTGTATCGGCAAATGAACCAATAGAAGATTAGATTATTGACAACCACAAATCAAAATTAAACGTCGTAAGAAAACTATTTATGAACGCAAATCACGTATCCAAGTTAAATCTTAGAGTCCAAAGCAGGGAAATCAACAGGATAATAAATAAAAGTCATATTAATTAGGCGAAGTGAGTCAGTCTAGATTAATCAAAACGAAACTTTTAAACCCGAAAGACAAAAAAAAAATGTCATAATGACTGAATTATCAAAGATTAAACAAACAAAAGAAAAGTAAATATACAATATAAGAAAATAAATAAGAAACAAAGATAAAATATTGTCGATGACCAACATCAAACTGATATATTTTCATGTCATACAAAATGAAAAAAAGAAAGAAAGAGAAGCGACTGCCTTTAGAGTTTGTGCTTATTTAAATTAATAGTTGTATAGTAATAATAATAATAAATTAATAGTTATATATATATATATATATAATCTTGTGCAGGATATGAAAACTAATATATACAACAATCTCGTGATTCGAAAACTAGTATATACAGTGACATCGTTACACATGTCCAAGGAGTTAATTCAGCATGGTCGAAAGCAACAAAATCATTGCGTCGGTGATGACGAAGCCATGGTTGTCTCGGTTCATTCAACTGGGCCCATAAATATGTGTGTCAGGCGATGAATGATAGCCACGCGCACACACACTCACACTCACACTCACGGACTCCAAAATCCAATAATTTGTCATATAAAGTCCACCATGAAATGCTGAAAGATTCTGAATCCCTCAGCTGCTCCCACTTTCATTCGTTCTGCAATACATAATCACTGCATTTTTCTTTGCTCCCATCCACAGGTTTTTCCGGGATGCGTTTCGATAGAACTCCTCTCTTGGGAGTAAGTTCCTTCTCTATATACTGCCTTTCCTTCTCTTGGGAGTTTGATATGAGTTTTTTGCGTGTATTGTGAATATTGGACGCTGGTTCGTGTCCAACATGGCTGTTTTTCATTTTTTGTGTATTGGACGATTCTTCGAGCATCATATCTGCATATTTAATTCATATATGCATTAGACATGATTGAGAATGAGGAGTCAGTTTGTTTTCTCTACTGCCTTCGGATTTTGTTTTTTATGTTAAGTTTGATCTGAATTGTTTGCATTTATTTATTTATTATTATTATTATTATTATTATTATTTATGTTACTCGGACTGGATCGTGAATATTGGATACGGGTTTGCGCATATGAAATGGGTATTTTCAGTTTTTTTATATGTTTTGTAATTTATCTGAGGGTTCCACTGAAATCAGGGATGGATTGAGTGACGGGGCGATCAACTCTGAAAATTTTAAATTCTCTTATAATTTAGATATTTTCTTTGTATTTTTTTATTGATATTCGGTTTTTGCAATAAAAATTTATACACATACAAATCTGCATTTGTTCATGTTTGAAATCATATCTTTATCATCAAAGTTGGATATTTGTTGAACATAATTAAGAATGTCTATAGGATAGAGGTGAGTTTTAGATAAAGGATCATACCCCGAAACCAATGTCCAAATATGCATCGGATAGAGGTGTTGGACGCATGAAGAACACCCAAATCTAAGAGACATAACCGACAGCTCAGTGTTACATTATCTAACGTTACTTTCATCCATGCATAGGGGAGAAGAAAGAGGAATGCAAACTCAGATGATAACTTGACAGATCTTGAGCATGGGGATGCAATACCGGTAAAAGCGGATTCCTTTTTTTTTCGTTAATGTCACATGAAATTCTATATTAACTGATATGTTAATGAGAGATGATTTCTTGAGACTTTCAGGCTGCAAATGTGAGCTTCACCAGAGTACTTTCACTTGTAAGTAGCTGAGATTCGTCATTTGTTGTTATGTAAAGCCATAAACATGGAAACTTTCGGGATTTTAACATTATACCATGTAACAGGCAAAGCCTGATGCAGGGAAACTCATCTTAGCAACAATTGCTCTCTTGATTGCTTCCACTTCAAGCATACTGATTGTACGCATCCTTTTTGTACTACTTATCGGTTCTCTCAATTTTACGGACATATGAAGCTATTTGGAATGAGAAATTAAGGATAACTAAACTTATTCATGGTGATGTCAATGGTTCATTTCTACAGCCGAAGTTTGGAGGGAGGATAATCGATATTGTCTCGGGAGATATCAGAACACTGGAACAGAAAGCTGAAGCATTAGATGCAGTTAGGAGCACCGTACTAGAGATTTTCCTGATTGTTATAATCGGGTACAAATAGTTTCGACTTTTATGCTATTTATATAACCTATCAGTTTGGTTTTGATAGAAGCAAATGAATATTTTTCAATCCAACTGCATCTCAAGGGTTCATCATCTTTTTATTGGTTTTGTTTCATGGTTTCAGTTCGGTTTGCACAGCACTGCGAGCGTGGCTGTTTTCTTCTGCCAGTGAAAGGGTCGTTGCTCGATTGAGAAAGAACTTGTTTAGTCATCTTATTCACCAGGTACAATATCTATTAAACTACTGTGACAGATTTCAATCATATGAACTAATGTTACAATGGTTGATGAGTTTTGCAGGAGATAGCCTTCTTTGATATTACTCGGACTGGTGAACTTTTGAGCAGGCTATCGGAAGATACACAGATCATAAAGAATGCTGCAACTACCAATCTCTCCGAGGCCCTAAGAAACTTGTCGACTGCATTCATTGGCCTTGGTTTCATGTTTGCAACATCATGGAAACTAACATGTAATAGTTATTTTTAATACTCAAAGCAATGTTTTGAAGTTTGTATTTATTTTGGAATTGATCCCACGTAACCTTACCTTGTTTATATGTTCTAGTGCTGGCTTTGGCTGTTGTTCCTGTAATTTCTGTTGCTGTTCGTCAATTCGGTCGCTTTGTTCGTGAACTTTCTCACAAGACACAAGCTGCAGCTGCAGCAGCCTCTTCAATTGCTGAGGTTTGTCTGTCATTATAAAATGAAGTATGCAGAAAATCTATGTTTGTTTGAATTCCTGGAGTCGAACCAAAACCGGTCAAACCGTTATACAAATCTGTTTGTTACATATATATTATACATATACATATTCATGTGCATGTACATATGGGACCTTCAAAGTATTTGCAGCACACAAATTCGAGCACTATTCTATCGATTATTGAGATTTTGATTGTCATAATATCTTTTCTGCTATTGTTTGAAGATATACTAGAAACTAGGAAGCCTGTACCATGTATATTAAGATATCTTCTATCTATACTTGGAATCAGGTGTGAGAGTCAGATAGGGAATGTGTCTGACACGGGCAATGTTCATTATTGCCATGATGGCACACCTATGTCTAAAACCAGTACTTAAAGCAAAAATGCAAAATCAAAGCAACTAGTATCCTATTGCTCCCTTTTGTTGAAAATCAGATACAAAGTTTTTGTATGGTTGTTTAGGAATCATTCGGAGCAATTCGAACAGTGAGATCTTTTGCGCAAGAAGAGTATGAGATATCTCGCTACTCTCAGAAAGTAGAAGAGACACTGGATCTTGGACTTAAACAAGCAGTGAGTTCCCTAGAGTTATTCAATCCCTCTTCTTTTCCCTTTCTTCCCCTGCGCGATGCGGCAAATAATCTCATCTCTGATTGCAATAGAAAGTGGTTGGCCTCTTCTTCGGAGGCCTAAATGCTGCATCGACGTTGTCAGTTATCGTGGTAGTTATATACGGAGCTAATTTGACAATCACTGGTTCAATGAGCCCCGGTGCTCTAACGTCCTTCATTCTTTATAGTCTCACAGGTATGGCCCATGTTTCCTATATTTATGTATATAAATGTGTGTGTATATATATTTCATCATCAAGTTTTCCATCTGGTATGCTGGTTTTCTACTCTCATGAATTCGTTTGGGCTATTCACACTTGCAGTTGGATCTTCCGTGTCCGGACTCTCAGGGTTATACACTGTCGCAATGAAAGCTGCAGGAGCCAGCAGGCGTGTCTTTCAGCTTCTGGATCGAGCCTCATCGATGCCGAAATCAGGAAATAAGTGTCCGTTGGGGTTAGTTTGTCCTTTCTTAATGATTCTTTTATGAATATGTGCGAAATCAATGGTGAATTATCAATTTCAGTCATGGATTGTGTAAATGGAAGTGAGTGCCAAAAGTGACAGCGCATTCTTCTATTTCAGTGATCAAGATGGGGAAGTTGAGTTGGATGATGTCTGGTTTGCCTATCCGTCCCGTCCTAACCATATGGTACTCAAGGTATTCATCTGTTCATATATATCGTAGCAATCACGTAATGTCCTGATATGAATGATCTTGCGTTTAATATTACATAATGCATTCGGTTTTTTTCAGGGAATAACACTTAAACTGCAGCCAGGATCAAAAGTGGCTCTTGTTGGCCCTAGTGGTGGAGGAAAAGTAATACCTTTATCCGAAGCTTTCACACTGTTAATAAACATTTACGGCTTATTTTTCGAACACTATTATTGCGGAACATTATACCATTTACTCTGTCTGCTGCAGAGCACGATAGCAAGCTTGATCGAAAGGTTTTATGATCCGATGAAGGGAAAGATTCTATTGAATGGGGTTCCATTGGTAGACATATCACATGAATATCTTCACAGAAAGGTAGTCTTGATTTTCCTAACTTCTCAAGTCAATCCAAAAACATAAAATTTACAACAATCTCATAGATTTGGGGTCGTTCAGAGTCATATCTCGATACCATGTTCTGGTATGTGTCGGATATGAATTTCAAAGACGGAACATCGAAACTCAGTGACTATCTGGATAGTATTAGAATATGATGAATATCCTTCTTTGTTGTTCAGATCAGCATAGTAAGCCAGGAACCTGTTCTTTTCAACTGCTCGATAGAGGAAAATATAGCTTACGGGTGTGAAGGCCAGGCCGATATTAATGATATTGAAAACGCAGCAGTAAGCTTTTTTGCATCTTTAAGACTTATAGTCTACAGGAACCACTATGCCAGTGTGCATTGACATTTAAATGTTGAGAAATTGCAGAAAATGGCCAATGCACATGAATTCATATCAAAATTTCCGGACAAATATGAGACTCATGTCGGAGAGCGTGGAGTACGGCTTTCGGGGGGACAGAAGCAGAGGGTAGCAATAGCGAGAGCGTTGCTGATGAATCCGAAGATTCTCCTACTGGATGAAGCCACAAGTGCTCTGGATGCTGAAAGCGAATACCTTGTGCAGGTGAGAATATTGCATCACCCATATCCGAATCTTACTCATTTTAAGAAACCATGTTCTTAAATTGTTTAGTTCATAATTCTCGAGCCCTCTCCTTGTTCGCATATTGAATAGCAACCAAGGCTTTTCTAATGAGATCACATGATCTGAATCTTATTCATCGAAGAAACTGTGTACTTAACTTGCTTAGGCTATAATTCTCGAGTTCTCTGGTGTTTCGTGTAGGATGCCATGGATTCTCTGATGAAAGGAAGAACCGTTTTAGTAATAGCTCATCGGCTATCGACGGTCCAAAGTGCAGATACTGTGGCAGTTATTTCCGATGGACAGATTGTTGAAAGTGGCAACCATGAAGAGCTTCTTGGCAGAGATGGTGTTTACACTGCATTGGTTCGAAGACAGTTACAAGCACCAAAAACAAACTTGTAGTAGATAAAATATTCTTATGTCACTCAAATTTTGTATTGGGCATGGATACATTCAGTTTTCTCAATATTTTCTTTATATATAAAATATTCCAAGTGGATCATATATGATAATTGACGACAATTTTAGACCCAAAGAAACCTTTTTACTCTCAGGACGAAAAGTCGTCAACATTTGAAGACGTTGTTGATAATTACGGTATAATTCACCCAATATCTCTAAATATTTTCTTTTAAATGCAATAAGTCATTATCCTAAGGTGACCGCTAAATCTCAAATTTCATAGTAAGTTTCATCTTGTTCTTCTTATTTGATTCGTCATATTAAAATATTGAAAATCTCCCTCAAAAGTCACACAATCACCCAAAACGTTTAAATTTCTTGAATCTCGATCTACGTCGTCCATCGCTAGATGATCTCCTTCACGAGATATGTTATTTTTCTCACCAACAACAAACTCTCCACCATCCATATTGTCGAATGTAACCTTGATCTTTAAGAAACTCAAATCATTCATTTGTAACGAAATTAATTGAACGCGTTGTAATTTACTAATAATAGGGTGACATGTGGTATAATTTACGCAAACGAGTTAATCATAAATATTTTCTAACAACACCTTTTAAATCCATTTGAGATTTAACGATACAATCTCTTGATTGATACAATCGAGTAATTGAATGACTTGATTATAATTTTTGAAATATGATGATTTATTTGTAAACTTACTGATAAGAGAGTGAGCTAGGGTGACATTTAACCAAAATAAAATTTACAATTGAGTAGTCATTAACTGAATTTAAAAATTAAGCGAGAAAATAGAAACACCAATGAAACTCATAAGCAGAAATCACATCCAAAACTCAGAGGACTAGTTAGAACCCTGAAGGAAAAAGCTTCAATTAGGGTTTATAAACCCCACAAAAACACCTTTGTTTTCCCCGAAACAATGTTCTAGACTCTATAATCATCAAAATTCTAGGGTTTTATGTTTCTTCTCCCGTCTCCATTCCCTCTCCCACTTTCAACTGGTAAGCCACCGTTGCTATGATTAGTTTCGTCTATTTTCTTATTCATTATTCATTAATTTAGTTACTCGGATGCTGTTCTTCTGGTTTAATTATATAAAAGATTTACCTTATTAATCATTGTTATTTATGTTTTATATTTGCTGTTTGGTTGCTGAGAAAGTCGATGGTAAAGGAGCGGTAACAAAAAGTTTGAACTTAGCCTTTGTGTAGTTTTATTATGGATTTGAATTGAAATTTTATTTCTCTTCCGAAACTTGGCTTTTTGAAGCTTTTTTATTGAATGCAGTTGAATTATGTATGTTAGAAAGGAAGAAAAATGATTTTGTTTCCTTAATTTGTGACTAAAGGAAGCAATTTGATTTTTGATCGGATATATAGTACTGCTATACTGTGCTTAATATCGAAAAGTTAAAGGGATATGCTTTCAGGGAGTTCTGAAGTGCAATTCGAGCAATTTGTTTCAAGGCTTCATTTTATCCAACAATGCATTTAGGGAGTTCTGAAGTGCTATTTGTTGTTTTTTGGTGTTGTTCTGCTTCCATGTTGGATCTATATTCTTTTGTCTGTTGAGAACTGACTTTTACTGAGTTGTCAACTTTATAGGTTTATTTACTTTCTGATTTCAATGCCGATTTTCCACAGGTGATTTCGAGACTTGAGTTGAAGGTTATACCTGTGCTACCGACTTTTGTTCTAAAGCTGTTTGTTTAAGTAATACTATTTTTTAGATGTATGTTCAAGGGAATCAAAATCCTCAGCCAGGGCAGGGTCCTCAAAAACCCATATCATCTCCATATCCGCAGCACCTGCCTGGTCCATCTCCTCTACCTCAATTCCAGCTAGGCCCTTCAAGCTTTACATATCAACAGCATGGTCCTGCTGCACCTCATCAAATTCCACCTGGTGGTAGATTGCCAAATACAGGCCAATCTTATCTATACCCACCTTTGCATGTTCACGCAGGTGCCTCATTGCCTCATCTGTATCTGAGTGCTCAACAGAACTCACAACATAATTCACAGTTAGGTACCCAGAATGCACTTAATATGCCACAGCCAGTGCTTCCTCCTATTAGTACATCTCACCCAGAAGTTTCACAGACCCAGCCACCTCCTCCATCACCTCCTAGAACATTACCTCTTCCTCCACCTCCTAGAGCATTACCTCCTCCACCACCTCCTAGAGAATTACCTCCTCCACCACCTCCTCCTCAATCTCAAGGGCAAGTATTTTATAGAGCACCAGTGAATCCACCTCTGCAATGGCCAGGACTTCAGCAGTTATCATCACATTCACCTTTTCCTGCTACAACGAGTTTCTTCACTTCAGCTCCACTTGGAAGCTTCACACACTCAACAAGCACAAATCATCATACTGCTCCACATCCACTTCCACCCCCACCCCCACTGCCACTGCCACCTCCACCCTCCTCTCCACTGCCTATCCAACCATCTCCTCCACCTTCCACCTCTGTTTCCATTTCATCTTCTAAGCTTGCCCAGAATGATTCCAACTTGCCCTGTAATCTGGATAATGATGGGTCTAAGTTAAGTACTTCAGGTTCCATGGACGACGCAATGACTCCAAATCAGGTCAACCCTGATTTAATTGCAGATGATGACTCTCTGAATAAGGTTGGGGGAAATGCCTGCAATGTGGGTTTTATGGTTGGAGATAAGCTATCTTTACAAGAAAGTTTGACTGTGGATGTATCTTCCCCTCTTCGTAAGCCAACAGATAAAAATCTCATTGAAAGGATTAAAGCTTTATGCCTGTGCATTGCTAAGAATGGTCCTGATTATGAGGATGTGGTTCGTAAAAATGAACATAGCAACCCAGAGTATGCATTTCTGTATGTTGGTAAACCCGGAAGTGAGGATGCTATAGCGAATGACTTTTTCCAGTGGATGAAAAAGAAAAGTATTTTGACCTGTAAACTAGATGAACAGCAAGACGATTCATCTTTGAGGCCTTCAGAAAACGTGTATCCGGAGCAATCCTGTCCTTTGGTGATTGCAGTCGCATCTCATTCGCCTGGTGATTCTGACATGGAGATGGAAGGTTGGCATTTTTACTATGTTTGTGCTTCCTAATGTTTACAATCTCTTTATCTTTGGGTTATTGAAGTTAAATCTTTTAAGTTCATATAAAAAAATGTCCATTCACATGTTACGAGCTCCAAAAGAAACAGTACTGATCTTTTTGTGATAGAATTTCTTTTGAAGTTATTAATGATCATCGTAAACACAACAGAGAAGAAATTGTATTTCATTATGTATATCACTTTTTCTTATGAACTGTATTCTTAAGTGTATTTTCTAAGCATCTGTTTACCGTTGCACGCTGATCTTTTTTTATATTTGTTTATATATTCTGGTTGGTGTTTTCAAGATGATATCACCCAAATTGATGAAGACCAGGGAATGAATCACTCATCCAAAGGCCTGAACAATCAGTGTGATATCAACAACAACATGCTTAATGTAGAAGAGCAGTTATACTGTCACCCAGTGCAAATATCAACAGATGGCAATGAAAACAAGGACATTTTATCAGAAAAAGAATTAGCTGCTGGCAGTTCAAGATTGGGTAAAGAAGGTCAATTTAACATCTATTTGTCATATTAATCTTTCTTAGGTTCTCTCGTTTCTTGCTTTTTCAATATATATAGCTGATGGCTCCAGAATGCAGTTATTATCTGATTCTGTAATGTCCCAGAATGTTCACTGAGATGTCTTTATGTCTTGTAATTTTCTCTATCTATTGTATGTTTAGTGATTTTAAGAACTTTTTTCCTGTGCAATTCAGATCCTAAAGGTATAAATGCTGACCAAATGACATTTGGTGCATCTGTTTCCAAAACTAACTCGATCAAGTCAACTGCACCTTCTAAACAACCTCTTGTCATGAGTTTGGAGAGATCAAATACTTCTGTTCAACTTGCAGAAAGTGGCTGTCCATTCAGACTTATCCAAGACTATGCTTCTGATGACAACTTAGAAAATGTTGAGGTTGGTTCTAGTGTTGATAGTGATAAGTTACGAAAGGAATCTAGGCTAGTGGAAGAAAATATGACTCTTGGTTCTCATCATAAACTGGATAAGTTTGGGCGATTGATCCGGGATGGTGCTAGTGATAGCGACTCAGATGATTCTTGCTATATTGGGAAATATAGAAGGGGAAGACCTCAGAGCAGAAATCAGAGCCTTTCACCTCTAGATAGAAGGAGAAAAAGTCCACGGAGGAGAAGGAAGAAGCGCAGCCTATCTTGCAGGTTGTTGGTTTGTGGTTTTGAGTTCGTCTTATTTTTTAATTGATCTTTAAGAAATTTGACTTCTTAAGAATGTTGTATTCCTTGCGTTGCAGTTCTTGTTTATGATAGGTGGAAAATTTTAAATTTCTTTCTTGTTGTTTTAGTTCGTCTCCCAGAAACAAGAGAAGCAGGAGCAAGTCTCCCAGAAACCGGAGAAGCAGGAGCAGGTCTCCCAGAAACCGGAGAAGCAGGAGCAGGTCTCCCAGAAACCGGAGAAGCAGGTCTCCTAGAAACCGGAGAAGCTGGAGCAGATCTCCCAGAAACTGGAGAAGCAGGAGCAGATCTCCCAGAAACCGGAGAAGCAAGAGTAGATCTCCCTGTTTTCAGCATACAGATGAATTCTGTGGTGAAAAGAAAAGACATGTGAAGGGACAGATGCCATTCTGTTTTGACTTCCGTCGAGGCAAGTGCTACCGTGGAGTGTCTTGTCGTTATATGCACCACGACTCTGGCAAGAGTTATGAATCAAGGCGGCAAAGGAGCAAACAACAGCATCTGGAGTTGCCTCATACTTCTAGGACTAATAATGTTCGTGAAGAGATCAAGCAGAGCTCTGAGAAAAGAGAAGATTCTGGTGATGGAGGTGTTCATTATCAAGATATTCAATCCAATGAGTATCACATGGTTAACTCTGATAGATCTGGAGGCACCCCAACCTCTTTATTCGAAACACACTTGTTAGAAAAGAAGCAGGAAGGGCCTAATCCTGCCAGTTATGAGAATTGTCTAGAAGCAGCTGCAGAATCTCAACACCTGTCAACTATGGATAGCTCATCAGTTGGCAAGATAAATACACTGATGTCATGTGCTAATGCTTCTCAGCAAGTACCTACTTCTTTGTTCAGCCCTTCTGATCCAGTGTGTCAACATGCTAATTGCCAACCTCAACAATCAGATAACTCATCCATGTCTGATTCTTTACCGTGTAAAACATCAAAATCATCGCTAAATATGCTTCCAGACGGTAATGTTCATCCACATGCAATGGAGCTCCATAACCGTCCTTGCCATATATCCTCCCCTTCTGTCCTATGCTCACATGGTAAAGATAATGAACGTATGAAAGAGCAGCAAACTTCATCTTCTATGTTTCAATCTTCTGGGGAAGGCTTTCCTTCTTACATGTTACCTAGCCAAGAGTCTTACTTTGCTGTACAGCCAAATTCGTATATGACTTCCTTACCTCCAATTCCACCACCATCTGTGGATTCAACTGTAACTCCCAGTGTTTCTTCACATTTTCGGCAGAATTACTTTCCTTTGAGGAATGATATTGGTTCCCAGATTGTCCGAAGTCCTTACCTTACTAAATTGCCTGCATCTTCTCAATCTGATGGGTTTCAATTTCAACAGAGAGCTTATTCTCCAATTCAGGATGTTAATCGACCTATCTTGCAGGTTTCTTTACCTGTGTGTAACCTGACTGGAGCTCCTAGTATATCAAGAGATGATGGTTTAACACAACCTCCAACGCAGAATGTTATTGCTTCAAATTCCTTTTCCCAGAGCAATATTCATCGTCATGCTCTGCCATGTTCACAACAGTTGATGGGAAACAAAATGCAACCATTTTCCTCTGAGAGTGTGCCACCAGGTGGACTTTCTTACTCATCTGCATATATTCATCCCTATGCACAGCAGCAACCACCTCACAGTTCACACCACCCTACAATTGATGGTATTTATAATCTTGGTGGAAAGATAAATTCTTCGCTAAAAGTTCCACCAAATATTGGGGACACCCCACCCCACCTAGTTGACATTGGAGGATCAAGTAGTTCAATTCCTAATCCAAATGTATCGACTCTTCTTCAGCCAATGAATACCAAACACAATTCTGATATTCTCCGGCAAGAAAAAGATATAGCCTACAGTAAGACTCCTTTCAGTTTGGCTAATGGTTCAGTGCATGAGAGAGGTATTGTATCTCAACAAGCAACTTTGTCACCCTATTCTTCCAGGGCCTTTCGGCAGAATTTTCTTAGAACAGGTTGTGACCAATATGATCCACTCATTGATAGCATTGAGCCATCTTCAAGTTTATCGAGAAAAAACAAGTGTATTCAAAAGTTGGAAGTAACAGGTGAATCTGACATTGTATTGGGGCTTAGTGGTTCCAACAAGCCACTGAATGTGGGGGAAAACAACAATAGGAAAGATGCTGCAGCTGCTGCTTCTGTGGCATCTGCAGGGAAGGAAGAATTTGGTGAGACTGCTGATGGTGAAGTTGGGTCCGTTGAGATTGGAAGGCCGAGTAATCCTGTTGAAGTTAACATGGCTACTAGTGAGGTTGAGATTGACCAGGTAAAGTCTCCAGGGAAGAGCAAGAAGAGCAAAAAATCCAGATCAATGAAGCATTTCAAGGTTGCCCTTGCACGTTTTGTGAAGGAGCTTTTAAAGCCGTCATGGAAACAGGGCAATATGAGCAATGAGACATTTAAGACTATTGTGAAGAAGGCTGTTGATAAAGTATCAGGTGCTATGAAGAGCCACCATGTGCCCAAATCACATGAAAAGATTGATCGTTACATCAAGTCATCTCAGCAGAAATTGACAAAACTTGTGATGGTAAATTTTCTTTTTGTTCCCTCCTTGTGGTGATTAGCATAGCAGTAGCGTCAATTTACAGGATGTTCTGCCATTTTGCGTTTATTATGTTTCATTTTTGTTGGGTTATTTTAGTTTCTGGTCTGAGAACCCATCATGCTTAGAATCAACCACAATCTTCCTTATAGAATAAGTATTTTGCAATAGGGAGCACGTAGTAATGTTTTATGAAATCTACGCCTTTTAGTGATGACCAATCCCTTTCTATCAGACTTCAGTCTTGATAACGACTTCTCACATAAAATCTTGGCTCAAGTTGGATGGAATAATTCTAAAGTGAGAAAAGATTGCTGCTAGGATTGGCTAAAAGTGTAGCCTAGGCCCTACAGTAAGGTATGGAGTTGGAACAAAATATAATATGAAGGGAAAAGTCAGAATCCCGATGAACTGATTCCCTTTTTTCGAGCTGGTTCTGAGAAGGATTCGTGCATTGGGTTCTGCTGAATTTCAGTTATTTTAGTTACAGTTTATTCTATAGTTATTGGTTCAAGAAATCAAGTTTTGGCTTTTCTTTCATGAAGTTTCATACAGCGTAAACTTTTGGTTGGAAGATTGATTTGTAACTGCCTTACATTTTTGTTGATGATGATGATTTAAATTTTCAATTTGGTATCATTATTTCCTCATCATTGCAGGGTTATGTCGATAAGTATGTTCATGTGTAAGATGGCATCGATGTTGATCCGAAGCACTTTCATCAACAGGTGTGTTCTTTCTTTCATACCTTGATCTCGACTACTATCCTCTGCCCTTGAAGCTTTTGCAAGTTGGTAATTCATTTTGTTGCAGTGGGTTGAGAAAAAGTTCAGAAATTTTCGAGTTGGTGGTGATAAAAACTCTGTATAGTTTGTAAGGTCAGGATAATTTTATGAGAAGGGTGAAAGTGATAAGATATTGTTACGTTACTCGAACTCGGATGTGAGTGTCGGATATGTATATGATGCACATGCTTAAAAAATGACGAGTCAAATTAACATAAATATGTAATGTTGGCTGCCTGCATATCTCCAACCTTTTCTCATTGCTGGAGGTTTGATAAAATTCATTAGCCAATTGTGCTGTCCATTAACTTTACAATAAAAAGAACAACTTATTAATGTCGAATCAATTAATAAATTATTATCAAATATTTGGAGACAATTTGACTAACAAATTATCAGTTAGTTTAAGTTACAAATCAATTATGAAAACAATTAGAGCATCAACATAAACGATTATATAATTTTGGAGCAAATTAATTTGGTTCAATTTACATCCTTAAATGCAACCACGATTTATTCCTAATAAAAAATAATCTAATAATACGAAACATCAATTAAGTATATATTTTAAAACATAAATGCAGGGTTTACCGACCCTAAATTCTATATAAGAATATAATTGCATAATTTTATTTAAATTTAAAAATATGTTTATCTCTTTCTGAATAGATATTATCTTATAATCATATTAAATTATTAGAAAAAAATATGTGTTCCTCTAAAGAATATTTTTCTAAGGAGTTCTTAAAGGTTTCTTTAGGGGAGATGCTTTATCCTCCAACCTTAGAACATTGTTTCAATTGTTAACATCCATTAGAAGGAAAAATTCGGTTATTAGTGCATATTACGTGACAATTTTGATCAGTTAATAAAAGTAATGGATGATATACTGATTTTTTTCAGATTTTAACTTTATTCAATTTAATCTTTAAAATAATTATTCAATCCGAAATTGATTTTATTTATTTATTTATTTATTTATTATTTTTAAATATAGTCTGATGTTATTTATAATATATTTTAGGGGTAAACTACACAAATGATCAGTGATGTTGGAGTAAGCTTTCGTTTTTTCCACTGAAATTTCAAAACTAACAAATTAGTCACTAACATTATTAATTTGTAATAAATCAATCACTCAACGTTAACCTCCGTTAAAATGGGTAACGGAAAGCTTACCTGGCCGTTAACCGCCGTTAAAATGGGTGACGGAAAGCTTACCTGGCCGTTAACCGCTTACCTGACAACGTCTACTGTTGCACTGGAAACCCATTCCTTGTTGACTGGTCACCTCTTAAGTAAAAGTGAAAATCTTCAAGACTTCAATTGTAAAATTGATCCGTAAAAGATTTGGAGTAATATTTTTGATATTCGAATAATTAAATCGAATAATCATTTGTAAAATCTTAAAATTCATTTGTACTTAATTTGTTATATCAAAACATCAAAATGTTTTCAACAATGTATCTTAAATTTCTGTTTGCCTTCCATTTATCTAACATTGACTGCAGTCCACATTTTTTTTCTTGTTCAACAGTTTTCAGGAGACCATTTTATGATGACTTTCTCGACTTTTTCTTTAGGACATTTAATGTTGGAATCTGGTCATCAAGAGTTCAGTTTGCTCCTGCCTTTGCTTGAGAGTTGTATTCCATAATTAACTGTTTTTTCTTTGAGTATTGCTAAGTTAGATAAGTGCACCATAGAGCGTAATATTCCTTCATGAATGACATTATGCCTTGACCATGTTGCTATTAATTGTTGTTGCAGTAAAAATGTGATCAGGGTGCTTCATCTTCTTAGATAAAAAACGGAGACTTGAACTGGTTTTCTGTTATGTAAGTAGCATTACCTGCTGTATTTAACTATTGTTAATAAATGAGATAATTGTCAAAGGTTTGGTTAGCTAAATAGTGACTGTATCATTTCCTTCTTGAACTTTTTCATTATATTTATGGCTTCAATTAACGAGCTATACTTGCATGATTAGTTAATCAAGTAAGGTGGTTTATTTTATCTGTTTGGTTATTTCAGTTTTGTTGATATTTTGTTACTGGTAACAATTAGTTTCTGTTTTTTTTAAGATGTACATGACATGCTGAAACTGACCTTTATCAATACAAAAAAAAAAAAAAACTGAACTGTAGAACATACAAGTTATATATTGTTCTAGGTTCCAGGGACTCCTTGTGTCTCGGTGCACCTTTTAAAACTAAGCCATGTTCTAGGCAAATTGGTCATGAAATTCTACTGTCTGGAATTTCCTATGGCATGCTCTTGTTCTTGTTTTTAGCTTTTTTAGTTTTTATGTTTAACAATACAAATAGAATGCATCCATCTATCTTGCTAGAACAAGCTTAAAGGGTTGACATTAGGGTGCACCTAAAGTCTGCTAACGACTTGATATGTATTTCAAATGCAATGTCTGCTGTTATATAAGCATATACTGAAATAGTTTTCAGCTACCTTTCCATTGAAGGTTCTGCCTGACAAATGGACCTTATAGCCTATGCTATGTGATGTTAATATTCTTGTGGATAAACCGCTAGTTTTGAAGGAACTTAGAAAATTATGGGATAGGCAATTACCTAACATTCCATGGAAGAAGGGAGAGTATAATGAATCAAACACGCTTTTGTTGGATGATTCCCCGTATAAGGCCTTGTGAAATCCTGTGACCTTTTAACATTTTTCCTCTATTTGCTTACGGCTTATTTAACACTTTTCAGATTGTTGAAATTCAAATGATGCTCTAATGCTTTCAATCTTTTCATTGGTAGGCAAATGCTGCTATATTTCCATATCCTTACCAATACACGGATGCTGCAGATTGTTCATTAGGTGAGACATGAGCTAGCATGTTTTAGGGAATTAAAGGTACACAAACAGATTGACCGCAATATAGTATCGAAGCCTTCATGGGGGGATATTATTAATCTTACCTTTTTGGCCTTTTCATGGTATAGGAAAAGCAATAGTGGATGTGGATCTTTTTAGTTAGGTTCTGTAGATCCTACCCTTACCTTGATTGAAACCATAAACTTGTTGGGTCAAAAATACCTTTTTCCGGTTAGGGAACTCCGAAATTATGAAGTCGCCTTTGTATTTGCATGTATTGTACTAATGTGATTTTTCGAGCCATTACCACAACTCGGTCTCAGCTGACCTTTTCTACTGTCGCTAATTTTTTTATTTAGCTTTTGCAAGACCAACGCATAGAACCGAATTTGGTAATGGTTTGCCTGTACTTTGTACACATCCCTAGTGATGGTTTAGTTATGTTTCAGTATTTGGATATATTCTAATATTTCAGCAGCATGGGGGAGGGGAGGGGAGGGGAGAATAAAAATGAAAAACAAAGACAAAAGCTAACAGTTTTATGGATCATTACCCATGTAATTGATATTGGTTCATGTTACATATCTACCATTTGAGTTTGCATTGAAGGTCATCTGTAGTGTACCTAATTCCTCCGATTTATTTTTCCTTGTGTGCACCTTTTATTGTTATTGTCATTGTTAAATAATGTATGCAACAGCACCAGAAGGAGATCTACGGAAGTATCTTGAACGGTTAGCTGAAGCAGAGAATGTTCAGCAGTTCATCGAGCAAAATCCGTTCGGGGAACCGGCCATCACAGAGACTGATCCACATTGGGATTTCTATTCCCAAATCATAGAAGACAAGACGTTGCAAGCTCGGTAATCCCGTCCCGATTTTTCGAATGTATGTCTCGAAACAAATCCTTCAATTTGACATCTTTTGATGAACTATGTTTCTTTGATTCTATATTTTTCTTGGAGTAGTCGTGTTCGATATATATATTAGAACGTCGGGATATGATTCTCCGGCGACTTCGAAAAACTCTCCGACAATTATTGTTTCTCTCTTTTCATAATAAAAAAAATAATTTTATCTAAAATCTTTTTTTTTTAATTTAGCTTTTTTTTTTTTAGAATATTTAAATTTGTGACATGATTTTGAGCAGCAAATTATTAAAAGAGCATAGCAGTTATGAAGTGGACCCTTTAATTCTTAATATATGAAAAATCTGGATGGACCCCACCCCTCATCACATTGTGTTACTGTTGGGCCTGACATACAGATAAGAAAAAAGGTCCATTAAATCCATTTAAATGAATTAATTAACATTATTTATTTTTTTGATTATTTTGATATAGTATTATGGTAATATTTGTATCGTATTTAAGTCGGGTTGATTTATCAGGTTTAATTATTAATGTCATTAATAATGTTATTCATATTATTGGACCACTCATTGGATTTAATTGATATTATTATTGTTGCCGTTGATAATTATGATTTTTAATTAATGGTTGTTGTCTTGACTTGTCTTGCCTTGCCTCACAACTTATTATTATTATTATTATTAAGTTTAATGTAAAAATAACTACTCAAATTATACCTGAAGTAACTGTAGGTGTCTAAAGAATTTTTCGTTAAAAATAGATGTCTAATGTTTCTAACGTTATACTTTAGATATTTGGACCGTTAACATCGTTAAATTCTATCGTATAAGGCAAATAATATTTCAAAATTCTTTAAATAAATTTTTTTTAAATTTTTATAGGCCTGACACATATCACTTAACGATTGAATTTGATGGTATGCACTTAAAAGTGTAACGTTCAAAAAGTTAGGCACCTAGTTTTAAAGAAATTTTTTCAAGTATCTAAAGTTAACTTTGGATGTAATTTGGATACTTATTTTTTCATTAAGCCTTATAAGATGATGATGTATTATGGTTGAAAAAGTTTTTTTTTCTTAAATAAATAATTTAGTTTAAGGTTCATATTAGTTTATTCGTCATGTCATCAATCATCGTGAATTATTATGTCAACATTCTAACGATTAATAATGAAAAACACAAGTCAAAGGGTTACATTATTATTTTTTTTGAGTTGAAAGATCACATTGGATGCAAATATAATTCAAGAATCCCATTAATTTTTTAAGTATAAGAAACTATGTACCTTTTTATCTAATATAAATTATAAAAGTATTTTTAAACTTAAATTTATCTAATCAATAATTTTAAATGTCAATATAATTGGTTTCGTATAGCAAATTAATGTTACATCAATCTGATTTTAATGAATAATAAATTTTAATTTTAATAAAATATAGTTAAGTAAATGTAATTATTTAAATATACTTACATATATAAAAGAAATATAATTATATTTAATACAAAATAAATCTGAAACTGATTCTTGAAGTAAAATTCATGTGACTTATCTTTCATGAATTTCCAAATTGGCAATTAATTAAACATTTTTTATCCACTAGCTCTTTCTTAAACAATCAACTTAGTACAATTAATATTTCACCAAGTACCTAGTCTTTGACTTGAGGAAGAAGTTTCAACATCGATGTTGAATTGGTCATTGAAATTTAAAAAAAAATGCTTAAAATTCGGATATTATATCGGCCCAGTTTGAACCGATTCAAATTCATATTTATTTAATAATAAAATCATTAATATAAATTACTCTCGTTTTTAGTATTATTATAATAATAAATTGTATTTAAAAATAATTTTTGATGAATGTATACATAAATCGATTTGGATTAATAATCAACAAATACAATTATAGGAAAACTTTGATCACCTCTCTATCTAATAATGGTGATGATGTATTCAAATATTACTTGAGTAATTTAGACACTGAAGTTGTAATTATCCAAATAAAGAAATTAGAAGAGAAAGGACCAAATGGACCTAAGTTTCATAATTTTGATGTCTTAACCTTTCGTCATTAGATCATTAATAGATTCGTTTAGTGGAATAGATTATTAGGTCTATTAAGTAAAATTTAATGTTCGGATATAAATATTATGAATAAAATAAATTAGATTAAAATGTCACTCGTATAATAGATTATATATATTACACTATTTATATTAGTAGATTAATAAATCAGATGCAAATAATTATATTAAAAAATAAAATTAGATTTCCTTTGGTCCAAATCAAATTTAATTTTAATCTTGGTTTTCAAAATTTAAATCCTATCTAATTGAAATTATTTATTATTTTCAAATATTTTATTAAGTTGTATTTCCTTATTGTCAAATTGCAATATTTTAGTGAAAAGAAAAGAGAAAAAGCATTTTTTAGTAACGCAGATGTTAACAAAAATCTACACGTCTAAATTTGGTAATTGATACAATAGCTTGATTTGTAATAATTTAGGTTAGTTGGTACGGTATGGATTATTATTTTTAAGGGTAAATTACCTAAAATGTGATTTATCTCTACAATGTGTATCAATTTTATTATTAAATTTTAAATTAATTTAATTTAGAGAAAATTATTTAAGATACAACCAAATTTTAAGTGTTAATTCGTTTATATTATCAAAATTTCAATCCTGCCAATTTTAACATTAACTTTAGTTTTCGCTTCAATTATGTTATTTCGTCGTTAAATATCTTATAAACATAACGTACATATCATATAATTCAAATTATTTATAATTTATATTTTAAAACTAAAATATTATTTATAATATATTTTTATTATATATATACACACTAATATATACCAATATGATAAAAGAAAGATGAGTGATATTTTATAAAAAAAATTGAAAAAATCTAAACATAAACTAATGTTCATTAGAAGAAACAAACACATATATCATGTAAACACAATTATTTGAACACAAGATATTTAAAGAGAATAACACTTTCTTCTACCACTGAAATCACTTGATGATTTCACTTAAGGACATATGAGGAATTTTATGTTGAATTTCTAAAATTTAAGAGATGACAAACTTATAAAATTTCAGAGAAATAAAAACTTATTTTAATTAAAAAACATATAAATTTTTTAAAAAATATGATAATTTAAAATTTTTATGAAAAATTACCAACTCTGTTGCGTCCCTCTAGATTCACATATCAATTATTATCATTTCAAATGATCTTCGGCAAAATAATAATATACACTTTCATCAGTTTAATAATAATAATAATGATTTTATTAATGGTTTTTTTTTAAATGAGTAATTATTTTATTAGAAAATTCACACGTAATAGTAGTTGATAGGAAAGAGAAGGCGAAATGGAATGCTTGTTGTTGTTTGATTGTTTTGTCTGAGTGGTGAGAGAATCACATGGCTATGGCATGCAAAGACAGCATTCTCACATTCATCCCTTTCCCACATGCATTCCTCAGATAAGATGACATCTCACCTCTTTCTCTCTCAATTTTGTCTCCTCTTTGCCCTATTTCTGCCTTTCTCCTCAGGGCCAGGGGAAGAAACAATCCCGTCACTCTTATTTTTTCCACAAATGCCTGTTTTCCAATTCTGAAATGGCCTATTGGGTTGGGTCCCTTCCCTTTTCCATTTTGGTTCGATTACTATGAGATTCTAACACTGGGCATTCTCTGGTTGGCCTCAAGGAGTAATCCTTTTTAAGTATATATATATACCGGTCACTGGAGTCAACTTTGTGGTTTCTGGGTAAGTTCTTTTTGCCTCTCTTGTGTTTGATCTTTCAAGTATATATATATATATACAGCAAAATAGATTGGTTCTGGTTTCTGTGGTGAAAAGAAGAGATAATGGCTGCAATACCCCTTGTTTGAATCAAGAAGGGGAGGAGAGGATTTAGGCTCAATTGATTGAAGAACATCATGGCTGCAAAACTTCTATATTCGTTAGCAGATGAGAATCCAGATTTGCAGAAGCAAATGGGATGCATGGTTGGGGCTTATCAAATCTTTGATAATCACCATACGCTTGCCACCAAGCGCCTCGGCCATGGGAATCTTCAAGCAGGTACCCTTGGTGTTTCCTTTTGCTGAAATCTACTTCACTTTTCTGTGATTGATGCAATATTTATATGAAAACTGTGTCAATTTTTGTCTTTTGTTTTAGTTTTAAAATTCATTGTCAACTGCATTGGTCTTTCTTATTGCAAGTGTTACTGTTACTAATCAGCCTATGCTCCAACTAAGGATCCATATCGATTTGTTTCGCAATAATTGACTTCCAGAACACCTAACAAACGCACTGTAATTGTCTTGATTTCAACTGTTTTCTATCTGTACAATGATGCATGAATGTGGAATTAGTACAGTGATTCAATCATTGTTTTATAGAAGCCGATTCTATCTAAAGCACTATCCCAGTTTTCTATTTTCATTCTTTGGTTCTTTGTGCTCTCAAACATTTCTTTCATGCATCTCTAGGTAATTCCCAATTGAACAATGGGATCCATGAAGGGGATTCAAATAATGCCTTTCATCGACAAACTGCTACGGTAAGTCCCCGGAAATATGCTCTGCATTTTCTCACCCCCTCTCCCGTCCCATCACCATTTTTATGTCATGTGAGATTGAGTGGATTTATCTTGACGCCTCGGCTGTGACTATGTTCACAAGAATCTCTCTGAAATTGCACGCTGAGTACTCAAATTGCTTCTTCAGTTACGAAAAAGTTTATTAGGTGATGCCATTTTTGTATGGAAATCTGTCCTTACAATCTTTTGATTTCCAGGAAACGAACATAAACAGAAGTGGGAGTGAGAAACAAAGGATTTCGACGGAGTCTTCGAGAGCCTCTTTTTCATCATCACGCTCATCTTCCTTCTCATCACTGGAGTATAACAAGACGGCTCAGCAAGAGGTCCCTTTCCCCAAAACTCCTCACAAGGAAATGGTCATGGACCAACCAAGTTCTCCGCATGTAGGGTCTCAGTGCATCGGCCTTCGAGATGTGGTCAAGGAGTCGATGTATAGAGAAGCCAGAGGACTATTGGTTCAAACAACAGCCAGAGAGGATATATCGGGTAGTATGGTGAAGCATAGAGATTCGCCGAGGCCATTTCAGCTTCCTAAATCAGTAGATGGGTCTTATGGTGTCGGGATCAACGGAAAGCAAAATGTGAGTGATGATTTGAAGGAGTCTCTTAGAGTTCTTGCTAAACTTCGGGAAGCACCTTTGTACTACAATAATGAAGCTAGGGAACCTCAAAGATCATCACACGAAGCAAATGGTTCATGGAACTTGATTTCAAGGGACGCTAATGCTCCTCGATTTTCTTATGATGGAAGAGAGGTTAATCATTTATCTTCCGAATCACGAGACACCTTCAAATCTGCACCAAAGCTTAAAGTGCTGCCAAGACATTCTTTGGATAGTTGTGAAAGGTCAATGAGGGGTTCAAGTCATCTTACGGAAAGTTTTCATAGTATTGGCAATTTGGACGGCAGAGTTACTAATCCGCCACAATCACTGGGACCCCAGAAGCGCCCTCCTAATGTTATAGCTAAGCTGATGGGCTTGGAGTCGTTACCGAGTTCTTTCTCAGCCGGTGATGGCCAGTTGGGTGTTAGTAAAACCTGCTCGGTTGAAGATAACTATCCTTTCTTACGGTCACTAAGAGCAAATGATCCAAGCAGGCCGACCAGAACTAACTCCATAAGAAGCTCATTGAAAGACCCAGCATCACCGCAGTGGAAAAATCCTGATTTGATCATGAAACCTATTTCTAGTTCAAGGTTCCCGATTGAGCCAGCACCATGGAAACATGTCGGTGGAAGTCAAGGCTCTCAGAAACACCCTCTGAAACATGTAAAAGTTCCAGTCAATAATCCAAATACTTTCCCTTCAGTTTATAGTGAGATTGGGAACAAATTGAAAGATCTGGAGTTTAAACAATCTGGAAAGGATCTCAGAGCTCTTAAACAGATAATAGAAGCAATGCAAGCAAAGGGACTCCTTGAGACTCAGAAAGAAGAACAAGCGGAAAACTTGGCGACTCAAAGAGACTATGAACCAAAATGTACGAGCCTCAGTCAGAATCCGAGAGGCCACCAAAGTCCACTGAACACTCTTATCAACACATCCCCTAAAATAGGTTCGGAGTCTAATAGAACATATGAATGTCCTATTGTGATCATGAAACCTGCAAAACTTCTTGAGAAGGTTGGTATTCATGCTTCAAAAGTAATCCCGATAGACGAATTTTCAAGTTTTCCCAAGGTTCAAAGTGGCGGGCCTGTAGATAACAAAAAAGGTTCGACAAATGGTCGAGCAGCTCGAGATTGTACTGCCAGAAACAGTCGTAGTGGTTCTGCTTTCAGCTCTAAGAGAGTTAGTAGCAGGAATATTAAGGCCATACAGTTTTCAATGAAATCTCCAAAAGAAAGTACTGCAACTTCAGTAAAGAATTCAGGACAGGCGAGCCCGAGACTGCAGCCGAAAAAGCTTGAATCGGATAGGCGATCTCGTCCACCTACCGTACCACCTGATCCAAGCAAACCCAGAAGGCAATGCCACTGGCATTTGTCTGAGTCGGGTACCTCTGGTGGTAAACATAGACCAAAATCTCCTGACATGCAGCAGTGTGGTGACCAACTGAGTCAGATAAGTACAAAATCGCGGACTTCAAGTCACCAAGGAGGCGACATTTCTCTGCAGTCAGAAATCAGTATTATCTTGCAGTCAAAGTTAGATGTGGAAGAACCCAGTCATGAAAGATCTGTCCGGATCATTGCTAGTCAAAGCCCATCCGTGAAGGCTCCGAAGTGTTCAATTTCCAGCATAATGCCGAAGGTGACATTTTATTTACAGTCTTTACAGTTCATTCAATTGTTTTTCCGGTTACCTTATATTAATGTACATGCAGAAATCACATTTGAGAATTGTTGAAGATGAATTGATACAAGAACCTGCCGTGGTTGCTCCGGAACATCCAAGTCCGGTTTCTGTCCTTTACACCTCGTTTTATAGAGATTATGAACCATCTCCAGTAAAGCAGATATCAAACACCTCTGAAGGTAATAATTCTGTCTCCTAAGATACTTGATTTGGACATATAAACTGTTGTGAATTAGATGCGGATGCTGCTCAGTTTATCCATTCAACGCATTTTTTATTTTTCATTATCAAACCTTTTTTTGCATACCAATATAAATTTTTAAAGCAATGCATAAAAGCAACACATTATCATTGTACTCAGATTAACAAGTACGATAGCCGTCATCATTTCATTGTGGTCGCTAGCATTGCTACTGTTGTAAATATAGTAAAACCCCTAATACTTTTTGAGCATTTATACCCCCTCCGGACCACATCATCCCGAAAGAGGCAAACAATTGTCGCAAAGGGATCAATGAACTTAAACTCTCACTTGACTATGCATTGTATCAGGTAATGGTGCTGAAGGTTTGAACAAAGATCAAAATGACGAGCAATGCAACCCTGCAGATAAGTGCACGGCTAACAACGTTGGGTCTGGTCTTACATCCGAGATTAATCGCAAGAAACTAAAGAACATTGAGCATTTGGTCCAAAAACTTAGAAGACTGAACTCCGAACATGATGAAGCCAGTACGGATTACATTGCCTCTCTTTGTGGGAATACAAATCCTGATCACAGATATATTTCTGAAATATTATTAGCCTCTGGTCTTCTACTGAAAGATCTCGGTTCTGGCTTGACAACATTTCAGCTCCATCCATCAGGCCATCCCATCAACCCTGAGCTGTTTTTAGTTTTGGAGCAAACCATATCAAGCTCTTTGGTATTGAAAGAAGAGAGTGATACCGGAAATGTTTCCCATTCAAAGCCGGACCATGAGAAATTCCATCGGAAGCTTATATTTGATTCTGTTAATGAAATTCTAGTGGGGAAGTTGGCTCTATTCGGAGCATTTCCAGAGCCTACAATAATATTGGGCAAGTTGGCAAAGAAGTCCCTCACTGCACATCAGCTTCTAAAAGAACTGTGCTTCGAGATCGAGCAACTTGAATCCAGGAAAGCAAAGTGTGAACTGGAGGGAAATGAGGATGGCCTGAAAAGCATATTGTGTGAAGAAGTAATGAGTCGATCGGAGAATTGGACAGATTTGAATGGTGAGATTTCCGGGATGGTGCTCGATGTTGAAAGATTGGTCTTTAAAGATTTAGTTAATGAGATTGTGATTGGCGAAGAAGGTAGCTTACGAGCCAAGCAAAGCAGACGGCGGCGGCGGCTGTTTTCCAAGTAAACTATTTGCAAATGCCTTATAATTCTTCTTCATTCACCCATTTGTTTTCCTCATGAAAGCATAATAATAATTCGAGGATAAGAATTAAGGCAGTGGTGTTTTATATCATACTCTCTCAGATTGTGACAACATTCATATTTGTATGAAAACCCTTTGTATATGAACTAATGTTATATGGTAATTGTCTCCTCATGCTCTATGTTTGGTGCATTGGCTGCACTGCTTAGTTCAATTCGATCAGTCGATGATTGAATCGAAAAATTACATAACTGTTCGAAATTTGTGTACGTGTATTCTTATTAAACATGCCTTAATTGTATGAATACAGGGCAGTGTCCACTCAATCTGCGATATACACGATTTGGATAAGTTTAATCATGCTTTTAGTTTCAGGAATTTAATCTCGATTTAAAAATTAAAGTCTAATTAATAATACTATTAGTGGACATTTTATTTAGGTTAATTATACGTGGTATTTTAATAAACATTATCAATTGGATTTTTTGAATTAGAAGAGAACTAAATCTATAAACTTAGAAAAAAAAATTAATACTTTAATAGACAACTGCCTCCGTAGCATAGTGGTAGTGCGTTCGCTTCGTAAGCGAAAGGTCGCGAGTTCGATCCTCGCCGGGGGCTTCTAAAGTTTTATTTTTCCTTTTATTGAAATAAAAAGGTTTTGGGCTTGGGTTGGGACATATTTAACCTACACATTCAGCCCATAAGAAATATTCCTATATTTTAATCTTTATGAATTTGTCACATGAACTAGTAAAATAGTTGATACTTTTTTTAAAAAAAATAGCAAATAAATAATTTCAATATATTATAATATTAAAAATTCGATAAGATCCAAATAAATAATTATTATTTGTGGATTTATTAAAATTGTTTAAAAAACAAATTATTTACTCGGTTTGATTTAGGTTACTAATATAATAAATTTTAATTTTATTATATATATATATATATTTTAAAAACATTAAGTACCTAAAATTTGAATTATTTCACATTTTTTTCATTGCATTTCATTTGAATTATAGCCTATTATTTAAGGTTGGAACATAATGCTAAACACTATTATTAAATTCACAAAAAATTAACAAATTTTAGATTTTATGATCAATTAAATCATATATATATATATCTACTAAAATTTGTATATTTATATAATAAAATTATTATATATATATATATATAGATAAAACTAAAGTAAATACAAAATAATATTTATTTAAATACTCTTAATCATTGAACAATCAAAGCTTATACATGACATTTGCGACCAATTATCTTTTAAAACTTTTATAACATAGATAAATAATTTAATAAAAATAAATTGCAAAAAATTAACTTAAATATAGTAATAAATTAATAATTCATGTAAAAAATACAAACATTTAAATTAAATAAACATAATTACATCTAATGTATAATAAATTTAATGCCAAAAAAATTGAATTCAAAGAATTCATAATCATACATACAAGTTATATCCGATAAAAAATATAATTCAAAAGATCAAATGTACAACAAATTTAAATCATAAACATTTAATTAATTAACATAAATCGAATATTATCAATAACAGGGAAACTACACTTTTAATATATAAATTATTGTTTTTGTTTCCTTTTGTACCTGAACTTTATTTTTTTTAAACTATACTTAATGCTTAATTTAGGTTTCATTTTAGTATCCATCATTGAAAATTTAACGGTAACGTTGATATGTCACCCTAAGATAATATCACATCATCATTAAAAAAATAAAAAAAATATCATGTCAATAATTTTGTTAAGTTTTTAAAGCCGAGTATCAAAATGAAACATAAACTAAATGTTAGATATAATTTTTTTAAAATAAAGTTTGATTACCAAAATGAAAAAATTGTAATAATTTAGGTACAAAATTTATAACTTACCCTAAATAATATTATATATACATATATATTTGAAGCCACCTTTAGATCAAATAATAATAGAAAATAGTAATTTGAAACAAACCTTTTAGTGAAGTTCGTCTTGGATCCTGTGACAGTCAGGTTCAGACTGTTTCATTTCAGTCTTTCTTTTCTGTTCCACACTCCACTTTATCTCATTTTTTATTATTATTTTGTATTTAGTTTTGGGGATAAATTACACCAATTAGTCACTATACTACACACACATATATACTTTTAACCATTGAACTATAAATATTTTTAATCAACGTACTAGACTCGATATAATTTAAAATTTAGTGATTAATGATATAATTTATCTTAAATTAGATCAATATATACCCAATGCCTTAAAATGATACATAAGGTGTTAGTTAATTTTAGGTTTCGAAAGGATGAGTAAATGCAACCATCTATTTTCACTCATCTAAAGGGTTTAAATTTGTTAGTATTAGTCGTTTATTTTTACTCATCCCACAATATTATATATATAAATAAAAAAAATTACATTGCGTAATTAAGTATTGTATATACATCACTACTTATATATTTGTTTCAATGAAACTATAATTCAAAACCGTTATGACAGTGGGTTTTTCATGACATTAATACGAGTGCATATATGTATCATGTTCATACATTATACCGTCAGGAGGGTAGAGTAGATTACAACCGACAGTGCCAGAAGGAGAGGACGACCAAGGAGGAAGTGGGTAGAATGCTTGAGATATGATTTGAAGGATTTAGCCCTTACCGAGGACATGACCTCTGACAGGAAAGTATAGAGACTTAAGACCAGGGTAGCCGAGTAGTGTGGGTCACAACCATAGGGTGTAGCATCTCTATCTTTTTTTTTTTGCCTTTGTAGTTATTTCCATTACTTTTACTTTTTATACAGTTCTTTATTGGAATTTATGAAGGATTAGAATTAGGGTAGCGGAGTAGTGTTGCCTTAGTTTAGGATTTCACCCATTTGACTTTATATCTTTTCGTAGCTTGCTATCGCTGACTACTGTGTATCATTTTCTTCATGTTTCCTCTTTTTAAATTTAGTCGGAACTTACGTTTCTGTCTATATGCAGAGATTTTTACGCAATGATTTATTTGCAGGGATTACTTCCCATTACAGATGCTTATATGAAGACTACTAGGGATGGCAATGGGTCGGGTCGGGTCGGGTTTTTGGGCCACCCGACCCGACCCTAGAAGAAAGGGTTTTTCACCCGTGACCCGACCCGACCCGACGAAATTAAGGTTTCACCCGACCCGACCCGACCCGAAATAATAATAAAAAAAATTTTTTATTCAATGAAAACAGTGACTTAATTGAAAAAAATTATATATGGAGGGACATTATTGTAATTATCCCTAAATATATAGGATAAAATTATATATATTTTTCGGGTCGGGTCGGGTCGGATTTTTTTCACCCTAAACCCGACCCGAACAGTACATTTAAAAAAAACCCGACCCAACCCGAAATTTTTTAAAAAAAATCCGACCCGATCGGGTCGGGTCGGAACCCGTCGGATTCGGGTTGAGTTGCCATCCCTAAAGACTACTGTGTATAATTTTCTTCATGTTTCCTCTTTTTAAATTTAGTCGGGACTTACGTTTCTGTCTATATGCAAAGATTTTTACGCAGAGATTTATTTGCGGGGATTACTTCCCATTACAAATGTTTATATGAAGACTACATATGAAGTCTATTCAACTATGTATTTATTTATTTATACATGCACGTATTTTATCTATATTTTTTAATTTTATGACTGCCAGAAGTCTGCTACGGAAGCTGCTCTCTACCTGGCGTTGGGGGCAGCCCACTATCCTACCTCCCCTTACCCCATTATATATAAGAATTAGGGTTTTGTTGTTGTTATTTAGCAAAATATAATATAAAAAAGTTGATTAAAACACAAAAAATTAATGGCATATTGCCAGAGAAAATTCAAAGTTCTGTATGTGTAAAGAAAAAAATTGCATTTAGAAGCAATATATATATATATATATATATATATATATATATATATAAATCCTTGAGGAACTAATTAATCAGTATTATGATCCTCACCTGCATGACTTTGATCGTCGTTTTGTGTTTGACTGAGGCCTGCAACATTTCACGTTTTCATGAGAAATATTTTCATGGAAGAACAACTCACACATGATGGGATGTTTTGAGTTCAATAACGTGGAATGATTTATTATATCACCTGTCGCCGCCGTCCCATACGAAGTATACGACGGAAAAAGTGACGATGCGCCGAAAAATAGCTGCGGCGAGATGGAATGTGCCGACGGTAATGGCGGACAAGCGTTGCCATTGAAGTAAGTTTCAGGTTGGTGATGGAATCCATGGCTTCCGAACTGAAACGAGGACAAAGATAAATTTGAAGAAGGCTCCCAATGGTAGTTATTGTAAGTATTGGAAGGCATGGAATTGGATGCCCCGTTGTTGAACAATCCAGGTATGGCTGGACCATGATTGGTTAATGGGAAAATCAGTTTTTCTTGATTTTCTTGCTCTTTGATCCATTTTCCCTTGGTATCTGCAATATTTTCCCTTTCAACCTGCATGTTTTTCTCTTCAAATCCCGTGCATTGATGATCTTCTTCTTCATGTTCCCCTCCACAATCTTTCATGAACATCAAATTTGGATCTAAAAAAGGAGCAAAAGAAGATGATTGGAATGGATTGTGTGCCATCAATGGCGGATGAAACTGAAGTGGTGGGAGCTTATCAATATCATCTTTGGTTGCTTCAAGCAACCAATCCACAACTTTGCTAGGCTGGTTAAGGCCTAGCCGGTCTTGCAAATCATATAGTTGAATTGCCGTCGGCACCGAAAGCCTTATCCGACGGTCCCTTAGTCCCCTTATAGTACAAACTTTGCTATGCCGGTCTTTACCGCCGAAAGAACGCGGCACTCGGACTATCCTCGGATTCCGAAACCCCGACCACTGCCTCGAACTCGATGGCACCTTCGAGACCTTACTTCCGTTGCCGTTGATTTCACCTTCTTGCTTTGCTTGAGAACAACCCTTTTCTCTTGAACTTGAAATCATCTTCTCATCATCATTCCAAAGTCATATATATTGTATGTATAAAACTGAAACAAGGAATGAATTAGCCTGTAATTAGACGGCAAATAACTTCAAGATTCAAATAAGGGCATGAAAATACAGTTGTTCATGAGAATCCAAGGATGTTTTCCCATCTCAGATGACATACATGCAAAATTTCAAAATATTAGGTTATAATTTTCAAAGTATACATATACACATACATATACATATACATATACATATATGAAACAAATACATCTTCTTGCACAATAAACTTACATAACTGACAGATCAAAATGTTGCAGAACTTGGAGAAGATCAATGATCAACTTGATTTTTGACTGTGGAAGCTTCTCTTAGGTATTCTCTCGGAGCTTGGAGTTGAAGGACTTAAAGCTTATTGAAACAATAAGAATATAAACCCTAGAAAAAGGAAATCACAGTTGCAGGAATGGAAAAAGATGCTGGAATTTCACTGTAAACACATGTTGCTTGGTAATGGAGAAAGGGAAAGGTAAGACGAATCCGAGTCCCACACTAATCGACACGTCGATATAAAAAAGAATATAACAACAGGATTTAAATCTCCATAAAACTTTGTTTCTTACCACACACTGAACAATCACCTGTTTAATTATGAATTATTCAAGTTTTGAATAGCAAAAAAAGTAGATGATTAACTTCATACATACATACACATGCATACATATAGACATATATATTGGGGACCATTCGGTACATATTAGAAAGAAAAAAAGAAGGCTTATGCTTTATTGGCAACTGCAAATAGCTTTATCATGCAATGCATGCCTAGCTTGCTAGATGAGTTGAAACTGAAAAACAAATAAATACCAACATAAAAGAAGTTGCTTAATCCTTAAATCCCTTTGATTAATTCCCTTTGAAACGAGCTAAAAATTAGGGTTCATATTGGAAGGGGAAATTTTTTATCAGATAATGTATTTGGTGACAGTAGAGATAAGTATATAGCTAGGGTTTGCATAGGAGGGACCAAACATAGCTAGGGTTCTTTAAAGCATCTACAAATTGAGTAGAATTCAAGGACCACTTACATCTATGGCTGCACTGAGACTCTTACACCAGACAAGTTGGACTTTTAATTATATTAACTTTACCTATTTATAAAGTTGTTATAATATTCCAATATTAAATATATATGTATACTTCTTCGCATTTCTCACCATTTAACTTCGGTTTGCAAAATAGATATATTCCAATATTACTAGTTATTTGAGCGTTTATTGTCAAATGATTAAGATTTTTTTTTAACAGATACTACACTACCCTTATAAACACCCCTAGACTAGAAAAAAACATCAGTTTGTAAATCATTTCATTCTTCATTACAATACGTATGTGTGTGTATACATACATGTAACATATATATATATATATATATATCTAAAAATCCCTATATCAGACAATAACTTAATGGAATATGGAGTTTTGGAAGATGCTCTGCAGATCAGAAAAACAGTGCATGCATTATGCTACTTAGATGAATACACACACATATAATTATACATAGGGTTCCAAGCATTTATCTGAAAATAAAAAGAAACAACATCCCAACACGAACAACATGAAAATCCAAGAACTGTATGCATGTATACGTTTGTGTATATATATTTAGAAAATGGTGATCTTCTGCAGAACTATAGTGTGTAAGCTTGCATTTTGAACCAGTACAAAAGCTGAACTCAACTTTATATCCGAATTGTATCGAAACCAGGGAAAAATTTTAACACTTCGAGGAACCCTATGAAAACTGCAGATACATCCTCAGCTTTGCAGGTATATATATATATATATATATATGTATGTATGTACGTGTATATGTGTGTTCAAGGTTTCTTTGGCAATGCTAATAGAATTTATACAGGAAATTAAAATGACCAAATATATTTTACTAATTCTCAAGTGGAGTAATTAAAAGGTAAAGTCAATGGCTCAATGTTTCCTTTTTTAAACCATTAACAGTATTGGTGAAGAGAAGTGGGGGCAAAAACAATAAAGCCCTAATTGGACAATTCCCTCTTTATTATGATTATCAGACTAAAATGGTCCCTGCTTCAGACAGACACACACTGTTGTGTTTCAGACAGCCATTAATCTCCTCGAACTATAAGTTGAGATCAGTTTAGTTTATTGTTTCATCTCCATCATGCAATTGATCCAAATCCAATCTTTAATGGTTAATTTTCACTATGTAATTTCTTTTTTTATTGTTATATAGTTATGTATTGAATAAAATTTTAATTAAGTTGAATTCTAGTGTAATTTTAGTGGTTGAAGGTTATTAAGTGATCAAATTTTTAATGATTAAAGATTACTAAGTGATCAAATTTATGTAGACAAAAATTTTAAGAAACAAGATTTCTTAGTGACCAAATATTTAGGTCTATAAACATAAGGTATGCCTTACCATTTAGAAAGAAAAAATTACTAAAGAGATCCTTATATGTAATTGTCGGAATCGTCTTTCGGGTGAATCCCAGAATTGGGCTTCAACTTGGATTAAATGAATTGGAGTCGCCACCGATCATTTATTTTAAAACAAATGAGTTGATCGGATACCCTATTTCTTACATGATATACGTCTTTCCAAAGATGTGTCGGATTCGGGAGTTAGTTACAGTCAAGGAACGTTAACACCCTTGAACTGCCCTTTCGGTACTACGTAATTTTCAGTTGTCTTAAATTAAGAAAATTGTAATTTAAAATTAAAAGGTAAAAATACGATCTCAATTACTTACCTTAGATAGTTTTAAAGGTGTACCCTTAAGAGAGTCAAGAAACGTGATAGATAAAAAAATGAAAATAAATAGAATAAAGAAAATAAAAAAAAACAACTGAAATAAAAGAATAAAAAAAGAGTGGAGATAAAAATGAATACAATAAGAAAAATAAAATGAAGAAAAAAGAATAATAATGATAATAATATATACATAATAAACGAGTAAATAAAAAAATAAGAAGAAAATAAAAATAAATAAAACAAATGTAAAGAAGATAAAAAATAAATATAAGGAATAAAAATAAAAATGAAATAGAGGAAAAAAAAGGTAAATAGAAATAAATAAAATATAATAATAATAATAAAAATAGTAAGTAAAGAGTAATAAAAGAAAATAAAAATAGAAGGGTAGAATAATAAATAAAATATATGTAATAATAAATATAATATTTGCAACAAATAAAAAATAAATAGAAAAAATGTATATATATATATATATAATATGTATAGATAAATAATAGAGAGAGAAAATATATAATAATGGTAGGGAAATAAAATAAAATAAGATAAAAAATATATAATGAATATGCATATAAATAAAATGTTTTAAAAAATAATAATAAATTTTAAAAAAAAGATAAAATAAAACAAAACATATAAAACATAATAATAATAATAATAATAATAATAATAATAATGAATTATATATGACAATAATAGTAAGAAAAAAAATAAAATATAAAAAATTGAATTTTTTAAAACTCTTCCCTTCCTCTTTTCAAATGTCCGAACGATTTTCACAAAATAGCCTAAGGGTTCCGTAGATCTAAAAAGTTAATTTCGAAAAAAAAAAGCTCCGGTCATCGGCCTTTTGAGTTTTTGTGATTTTACAAATCGAAAGCAAGAAACAAACGACACATGCAAGCCTAACAATCGAAAAAGGTAAGTTTTTTTTACCTTTGTTGCCTTCGAAACTTTGCAAAAAAAATGCTTTGATTGTTCCAAATTTTCTGTTCGTATTTCGTCTATCCATTGTGTGTTATAATAGTGAGTTACAATGGCTATTTATAATGCTTATGGATCCTATTTTTAGGAGTTTGAATCATAGTAAAATTCTATCATATTTTTAGGAGTTTGAATCATAGTAAAACTCTATCATATTTTTAGGAGTTTGAATCATAATAAAACTCTAACGTTATGTTTATTTTCTGAATCCCACTAAATTGTGGTTGTTGAGAGTGTTGTACCCGAACGAAAAGGTGTGTTGACAGTAATATGACCCTTTAGTTTATTACGAATTATGAAATATAATAATAAGCAATCGATCATAAATTACAAAGTAAAAGAAATTGAACAGTGAAAAATCTTTGACGAGAAATTCAAAGGTAGAGGAAAAAAATCATATATATATATATATACTCAATACACACACATATATCCTCTTTAATGTTAATTATTTATCAAATAGAACAACTCAATATACACACACATATATATATCAAATAGGTCACATCATAAATTTATTGTTTTCTTCTATTAGAATTTAGAAAGGGCTCTTGATTATTTTTCTCTTATTTAATTTATTTTTTATGCTTTGAATTGTATTACGAATTATATCATTTTAAATACAATAAATGGTTAATCTCGTTTACATTAAGAAAAGAAAGATTCGTATGTATATACAACACATAATTATATCATTAAATTAATTAAAAAAATAATTTCTTTTATGGATGTTTTTATTATTGGAAATTTTAATTAATGAATCAATTCATTATTCAAAAATATTGGTCAAATAATACGCACTATATATATATGCATGGTAGGTTAGCTTTAATTAATTGGCTACATATATACATCATGTGTAATTAATTAATTAAAATGAATTACCTAACCGGCTAAAGTACTTTTTACAAACTAAAACTTAGCTTTTGTCCTTTTAATCTATTTGTATCTGACATACGTGGTTGATATATAACTAGAAATAGGCATTAAATATAAATTTTCAAATAAATTATTTGATTTTGATGTATATTTGAATATGGGTAAGAATTATAATTTTTCAAAACCTTTATAGTTAAGAAAATCTTGAAAAATAGTCGAATATATACATAATAAATCAAACGTGATATATCAAAAGACATTTGTTATAGAATTAAATATTCGCCTAACGATACATCCAAGTCCTGGAAATGAAACTCGGGTTGATTGCCTAAGTAAGCCTGTAAATGAGTATCTCCCCTTGAGTTCATTTGTCTCCTTCTTTAAAGCCACCAC